CAAATCCAAACAGCAGCTCAATGGGATGGGAGGGAAAAAAGCTACAAATTCTTCACAAAAGAGACACAAGGTGGGGGCTAAGGCCCTGGGAAAACAAAACTCCACCAGCTACCCAATATGAATTTACTGGTGGAGAAGGAAGAGCCGAGAGAGTACAGAAGGAAGATTCTAGAAGATGACCAGGCTAACTGCTGGCCAGTCAGTTCCTAGCCTTGAGCCACGAACTTGCTTTTTGGGGATGTGCTTTTCCGTAGAGAAGTAGGCTACAGCTGGAGTAGATATTTGAGGGAAATAGATTCATATATTACATAAACACACAAGATTACTTTAGGTGTGACCTGGGAGACGGGGGTCCAGCACGGTCTACAGGGTGCTGGCAGATGGCTCAGTGGATAATGTACTTGCTATGAAGATCCAGGCTGTCATTTTGGGGTGGTCCATTTTTAGCACTACACTATTGATTTGGGGTGGGTGTTAATATAGTTCAATATTTAAATACAGTGGAAAATACTCAGTTTTCACCCCAAGTCTACTGCTCATGCATTTCCTATGAAGAACAAGAGCCAAACAGCTTTCAAAACAGCACTTTCCACACCCACAGATGTTTGGTCACATGCATGCACAAGTTAGGCTGTCCCCGCAGGTCACCTCCAGGCTCTGACCAGCACAAGACCACATCCCCTCTCCCCAGGAGGGAGAAAGACAGCAAGGACGCCTATAGATTTGGGCCCTGGTCCTTCTGCACCCACAGTCTCCTTCCTGTGGCTAAGACCCGAGGGCACGCCCATGCCCCCAAGCCCTGTGGTGGGCTTGGTGGTGAGCTGGCCTGATGACCCTCAAACCACAGTTCAGCTGTGGCATCACCATGGCTCCCCGGAGGCGTCATCAACGGTGAGAGTCACAGGTGACAGTCACTGCTTCCCTGGCATTGCTCCCAAGGGTCTGCACCAGTCACAGAACCACAGCCACCCTACATTCATACTAAGGAAGTGGTGGAGGTGACCTACACTCCTGTCCTACTTTGGCACTTCTAGACTCATCTCAAACAACCCAACTTGGGGAAAGATGCTCACCTCGGCTCCATCTCCTTCCTGCTGGGGATTCACCTTCACCAACGTCAGCTGTGTCTAAAATGAGCATGAATCCCAGGTCCACTCTCTGAGGTTCTCAGACTACAGACCTTATTGGGCCCTATGAATATACTTTGTGTTATCTAAATGTGCAAACCCACAAAAGTGCTTAATTTACGCCCCAGATCAATGACAACAAAAGAATCATTATAGGAAAAATTATGTAAAACTATTTCTTTCCAGAATTTTCTATTTAATATTTTGGACTGGAGTTGCGCTTAAGAACCTGAACTGAAGAACGAAAATCCAAAGATAAGGGAGGTGACTATAAACTTTTGGTTGTCCTGGAAATGGCACGTGAACTTGACTCTTGCTTTCCTCACATCTGTTTCTCAAAGGCAGTCAGAGCCACTTCTCCAAAGATATCCAGATCTCTGCTGCTGAAAACTCCCAGCACCACCTGCTGCCCCAGGTCACCCTCACCTGCTGTCCCCAGAATGCTCTCCCTTCAGACCGTCCCATGGCAGTGTTCAGCTCCCTGCTGCCCGCCAGCTCCTGCCTGTGTGACTTCCCCCATCTGTCATTGTTCCACCCCTAAGACACTGGCATCTACACTGCATCTTTCCCCACACATAACAAAAATGCCTCAAGACAAGGCTTTATTTCTTACCCCCCACCCAAAGCCCAGGACAGCGCCTGGTTCAGGCGGCAGCCAGCAAATATTTGGAGGTCTGGGCATGAACAGTGGGAGATCAGAGGCCAAGGACCACTGTGGAGGACTACGTGGGAGGACAGGGAGAGCTGAGAAGGGATGGGGGAGGGACTCAGTTACAGGACCAGCTGCCATGTGCAGCTGAACTGCCCAGGCACAATCTGAGGCTTTAGGGGAGAGAGTAGATCCGCGACCCAGGACAAAGCAGGTCAGCGTTTACAGACTCACTGCTCCCAGAATGTCACACATTTCCCATTTTGAGGAGACTTTTGTAAGCATCTTTAAGCACCAGAGTGGGAAAAGCAGATGAGCTCTCAGCCCAAGAAGGAGCAGGCCCAAACAATAAAAAACATGCAGGAATGCAGCCCAGAAGAGGGGCACAAGGCAGGACACTTGGTCATGGGCCAAGTTTGGAGACACTGGGGTGTGGCGCTCCTTGGACCCAGGGGAGAGGCTGGGCAAACTTCCAAGGTCAATGTTTGCCTCTGTGCAGAGACTCATGTCTACTGTGCCCTGCTCACACACTGCCAGTGTGTGCCAGTTCTGGGCTCACTAGCTCTGGCTTCAGGGAATGAAACCCCTTTGAATGACAGCCGAAAGGAGCCCAGACCCTGTCACCCTCAGGCAGATGGTGTCTGTCTGCCTGCTTTAAACCCCAAACAACAGATCAAGAACCCCACACCACAAAGGAATGTATGCAAGGTTCTGGGTGCAGGGCCAGGTCTCTCGGGAGAACCCAAAGCCCTGGCATCTAAAAGCCAAACTGTGCCCACATTTTCTGAGTTCACCCCAGAGCACAGCAGGCCACACCAAGCAGAACTTTGGGAACAAAGCAAGCCAAGCCCCCAATAAACTGGCCAATGACACCTTGCTGCCTTGGGGACATGTGACTCAGGCCCAGGGAGACAAAGTATAGATGGAGAAACCTGAACATAGGATTTGAGGGACCAGCGCTGGGCTGCAGGACCAGACATGCTGTGGTCACACCTCCAGGGCTATGGGCTGACAGAGGACAGAGACCGTGGGAATGGCTCCCCTCAAAGGGCACCTCCTGGTCTTACAGTTTTTTTTTTAATGTCAACCAGGACAGTCAAGGCTCTGAGAAGTCTCACAACAACCTTTTTACCTTCTAAAACCACAGAACCTTCCTACAGAGGATTCCCCGCAGAGATTGGAGATGGGAGGGGGGTCACAAGCATGGCGAAGGGGTACTGAAGAAAAGCTTCCTGCAGTGGAAACTATCTGTGCTCAAATCTCTCTGTGCCTGAGAGCGGAATCCTGGTGGGGAGGGGAGCTCACCCTGACACACCTGTGAGCCTTCCTATGGATTCCCCATAGGGCCCCCAAACCCAGCTGCTTCCTCTGTGGCACGAGTCATCCCTTCTGCACATATGGGGCAGACACAGACGACCACCTCTGACCCACTGAGGTATCTACCTGCAAGTTCCATAACTGAGGTGACTCACGTTCATCTTTAATGCAAGATGATGGTGGAGGGGGCGGCACATCACTGCTCCCAAAGACCAAACCAACCCCCCTTCCCCAGAGGCTGCTGGGAAACACCTGCCCTGTTCAGACACTAATCCCTAAAGCACCTTGCCTCCAATGGGGTCAGTCCCCTGCCTCCACATGAAGTGAGGCCAGGTACACACTGAGGATGGTGGGAGCTGCAGCTCTGTTGAGTTCTCTTTGAATCAAGCAGCGAGACTGGGCTCTCACTGGGATGTCTAACATTCACAGATAGAGTGTACAGAAGTCCCTCACCGCTGCACTTGACCCCCAAGCCCCATCAGTTCACACAGTGTTGCTATTGGGTTGGTCTGCCCAGGCATATGGGACCATGCTTTAGTAAGTGTCCCAAAGGGTAGTTGCTCAAAGAGGTTTGACCTTGGTTGATATTTCCATCACAGAGATAGATGCTGTCAGTGTCAGAAGTCTCAGAACACCCAGGTAGCCAGGCTGGACAAGAATTCAAAGACTCCGAGCAAACCCAGTATAATTTCCTGTCACCCACAAGTCTCTATGGTAACCATGGCAATTGTTCTAGGGCATCCTACCTTGCTCCCTGTTGGATTCCTGAGAGTTAAAGTTATTGTGCTTTCAGGGGTTACTTGAATATTCCTAATCTAAAAATCCAAAATGCTCTGAAATTCCAAACTCGTGGATCAAAATGATTCCCAGGAAATTTCAAATTCTCGATTTCTCCAGATTGCAGATTTGGGAGTTAGGAAGGCAGGAATGGTAATGCAGAGTTACAGGGTGTTGCCAAATCCAAACCACTTTTGTTCCTGGATGTTCTGGGTGTGGGATCCTCCACCCTGTATCAGCTGCTACTGTCCATGAACTGAAGCTGGAGCTGGCGGCAGGGAGCAGCTCGCCACTTAGAGTTTCTTTCTCCACTTCAGAAACCTCCATCCCAGATTTCTGATTTTCTGGAGCCTCAAAGGGAAGAGAAGTCTTGTCTCCTCCGCCTGCCCCACCCTCTCTGCCCTCAGGCACCCTTTGCTCATCTCAGGTGAGTGTGGCCTTCCTCTGAGAGGCCAACTAACCCCTGTCTCAGCTGCTCTGACAAGCCATGCCTCTGACAAGCTGGGGGCACCTTCACACAAAGCCTTCTTCCACCCTCTCCCTGGCCCTGCCCCCCATCAGCTGAGCTCGCCCCAGCGGAAACCCATTGCTGCCCCCCATCAATGGTCTCTGTGTCCCAGCAACACGTGCCAGAGCTGCCCGCAGCCCCCATTCATGCTCCGGATAGAGCCCCTTTCAAGGCTGTGCTCCCTCCTCGCTCTCCGCCCCACCCCCACATACTGAAGAGGGCCATAAAGTGGGACGTTTCCTCCACGGGAAAGAAAGAACTCTTCCTTTCTGCTTTCCTGCCGTTCATCTAAATCTGGCCCCGGAAAGAGTATGGAAGCGGTGGGACAGGCCCAGTTCATGACCTCAGGGGACACGCCAGTGGCCAGAACTCCCTCCATTGGCTTTTCCTACTGGAGCAGTGGGAGGGCACACCTATGGCTGCCAGCACCCACCCCAAGCTCCTGCAGGGAGAGGGTACGCGTGTGACAATAAAGCTTATCTTATATCATTCCCTCAGGTTAAAATAGAGATACTGAGGCCCAAGGAGGTGGCAGGGTAGACTGGGCTGTATGGGCGGACTTCTGGTATGGGGACATGGAGGGCACCTTCTTCGGGGACACTGAGCAAGCACAGCTTCTTACCGTCATCCAGGTAGGTCTGGTCCAGGTTCTGTTCCTGTTTGACTGTCACTCCAGTGGGCATAGCGTCCTTCTGGTCACTGACTGGGGGTCCGTTTTTGGTAGCTCTTTGGCTCAGGGCAGTCTGTTGTTGGATGACTGTGGGGTAGGAACCTGGGCTCAGCCTCTGGCCTTGGTTGATGGGAGGTGGGCCAGGCCTGGCAGAACCAGGGCCGAAGTTCTCACAGTACATGATATGCTGAAACTCCTGGTGCCCCCCGCCTCGCAGCTGCTGGTTGGTGGGTGAGTAGTGAATCACGGGCGAGGCCTGCTGGCTAGCCGAGGATGTGTGCGGCAGGGTGGAACCCTGGCCCTGGCCCTGGCCCTGGGAACCAGCATGCACCAGCACAGAGCGGTGGGCATCGGCCAGGCCTAAGGGTGCTGCCAGGAGGGCCGGCTGCTGGTAGCCTAGCAGGCCTGGACTCAGGCTCTTGCTCCTCTGGTAGAGAGCGGCCGCGGGGCTCTGCTGCTGGTAGCGGGCATCGGGGGATGACAGCCCCGAGCGGAACTGTTGGCAGGGGGCCATGGTAGCCACGAGACAGGAGGGGGACTCAGCCAGCATTGGGTGCTGTGGGTAATACGGCTGGCTCCCCAGGCCTCCATGGGCAGGGCTGCAGATCAGAGAAGGGTCATACTCGTCGGGCTCTGTCTTGATGGCAGGGGCTGTGGGAGAGAAAAGCGCAGGGCTGCAGCAATCATGGTGACCTGTGAGTGTGTGCCGAGGAGGAGAGGCACTTTGAGAAGCCAAGTGAGCGGGAGCATGGCTGGTCTGTCACTCATTAGCCTTGGGCCACAAGATCCCCCCCCCCCCCCGGAATTGTCATCAGGCAAAACTTGACCTTGACAATGCCCTTGAACTATAGACTTTTCCCCTGTGGATGGGTGGAGGGTGGGCTGGAGTCTGTATTAGCCTCGTTCCTCAAGGTGGGAGCTGAAAGGAAAAAGCTTGTGGTGACTCCCCCGCCTCTCGAGCCATCTGTCCCCATCGTGTCCCTGCAATGTCCCCTCCTACTGGACACTGTCCAACATAGTCAGCGATGTTCAGTCGTCACTGCCAACTTGACAGGGCCTAGAGTCACCTAGGAGACACTCCTCTGGGTATGTCTGTAAAGGAGTTTCTACATGGGGTGAGTGTGAAGACCCGCCCAGAATGAGCACAGCAGCATCTGGGCTCCCAGACTGAAGAAGCCTCCATCTCTGTTTCCTGTGATGTAGTGCGACCAGCCGCTTCCCTCTCCTGCTATCCCCACCATGAAAAGCGGTACCCCTCTAAATGTCAAAATAAAACCTTCACCCCTTAAGTTGCATTTGTCGGGTATTGTTCACAGCAAGGAGAAAAGCAGGCCACCCCTTCCCAGCACCCTTCCTTAGCATCACCAGGTTCAGGAGGGAGAGACAGCTACATGAAGGAACAAGAGGATGGTCACCAAGGGTGAGTGGGGCAGCCTCTTGAAAGTCAGGGTTGGAGAAGGCAACTATGTCTACGAATGCCATCCAAAGGCCAGCGCCTCAGTTCTAGACAGCTAGGGACCGCAGGGTGGGCCTTGCTAGGGTTCCATTCCACCAGCCGAGCACTGGCGCCCAGCCCAGGGAGGCCCTGCTACCGCAGATGGGGCGAGAATGTCAGGGCGCAGAGGCGACGGCCTTCTTGCTGAGAGGACTGCTCCACATGCAGGGTTTGTGCGAGGTTCTCTCTCTCTGCAGCTCTGAGGCCCATGGGATGCCACTTCTGCTGCTGACGGCATGGCACATCAGCCCTCGTGGTGGCACCCTCGTAGGGATCACACAAGTCTACCATGCACCCTGCTGAAGCTGAGCCGCCCAATCAGGGACAGTGGGGTTTCAGAACCGGGACTGCAGGTTTACAGGCCAGAGGTCCTTCTTCCCTGGCCTGGAGGGGGGCAGGGACGGGCTTTTCCCCAGCTGCTGTAGTTACTAGTTAACTACTGCTGTAGTTACCTAACCTACCGGCTACCCTGGAGTTGTAACTAAAGCCACTCTATGAGGTTAGTTCCATTTCTGCAGAATTTCATGAATGAGACCTTCTGGTCTGGGTGTGCCTTTAGTAACCCCACCCATGTGGGGAGACACTCAAGGATCCTGAGAGTCCTAGAACAAGTCCACTTTGACCCTGAATGTGATCAAACCTAAGACAGGGAGGGGCAGCAAGAGACACCTGCTTAGCCGTCTGCCTCCAAATGCCCGTACCCACAACCAAGGAAAACACATATGACTATAGCAGCTGGCACCTGGCATCAGCAGGCCACACAGGGAGCTACTCTCACATGGAAACACCTTCCAACACAAGAGGAAACTGAGGCTCAGAGTGGGTGATTCACTTTCCCCAGGTAACCCAGCCGGAAGCAGACCTTGGGAATCCTGAGTCCCTGGCCAGTGCTGTCTGTGAACTTGAAGGTTATTGGGGAGAATGCCTCACCTGGATGGTAGGTAAAGTGCTGTGGCTGACTTCGTTTTCTCTTTCCGTTGATGACGTAGAAGTTCACTTTTACGGGTACTCGGATGTGCTTGTTCCGATACTCGGGGATCTCAACAAAAAGCATGTTCTAGAAGGAAGCAGTTGTCATGAACTTGACTGCAAACAGCACACCAGGATTCCTGCCAAGATCCCAATCAAGTCCACCCAGGCCCACCACGGCAGGCCCTCTGGCTTCGTTCCCCACATCTACAGTGAAGGGAATTTAACTTTTCATCCCAGCAAGGAAAGCTGGTCTAGCAAAGTGTGTCAGATGTCCCGGTCACAAACCACAGGGCCTGGGGCTCCCTAAGTGGCAAGCACTCACTAAGTGCAGTTTGTACTTGCTGAGTAACTGCGAAGTTCAGTGTGGGGAGGAGGGAGGGAAGAGGGAGGAGGAAGGTGGGAGAGAGAAGGGAAGAGAAGAGAGGGATGGGGGAGGGAGAGACAGGTGGAGGAGGGAAGGATAGAAAGGGGAGAGGGAGAAAAGAAAAAGAAGGAAAGGAAGGAGAGAAGAAAGGGAAAGAGGAAGGAAGGGAGGAGCAGAGAAGAGGGAGGAAGGAGGGAAGGAGAGAGGGAGGGAGGAAGGGGGAGCAGGGGACAGAGACCTCAGGGGGGACTCTGAGCTCTCGGGGCCATTTTGGGGTCTTACAGGCTGACTCTTGTCTTTATCCACCGTGGCTTCCATCTCCCAGACCTGCTGCCCATCTGGAAAACACAAAAGACAACTATCTTTGAAGGAACCAGAAGCCAACGACATAGGACAGGGCTGACAAATCACGTTCTCCGTCGCATCACCTGAGCGAGGTGTGCGGTGTGCCGGGGTGCCGGGGTACCTGTGGTGGGGGACAGGGAGGGAGGGAGGGAGGGAAGGAGGGAGAAAGTGTGTGTGTGTGAGAAAGAACGTGTATATGTGAGAGTGTGTATGTGTGAGACAGAGTTGTGTGTGAGAGAAGAGTTGTATATAAAAGTGTATGCATGTGAGACTGTGTGTGAGAAAGTTGTGTGTGCTCGCACGCGTGTGAGTTATGTGTGTCTGAGAGAGCTGTGTGTGTCCACATATTCAAATAGTTCTCTTAGCAGGAGAGAAACATAGTGCCAGTAGGAAATTCAGGATTAAAAGAGCAAAGACTCGGAGGAACCGCAGACTCCGCCAATGTGATCTCTTTCCATCCAAAGCCTATTTCTCTTTCTTAAAATAAAATCAGTGTTCTCCAAAGCACCTGATCACATTTGTCTATTTCCAGAAGGTCCTCAATCCCAAGGCTGTCTCAGGAGCCTTGTGATGGTCCTGGCTTGTTACCAGCGTCCCCTCATCTGAACACAGATGGTTCAGCTGTCCCACTCTTAATTGGGACAGACAGGTGGCCTGAGCATGCCTGACTCATGGGTCATCAGGAGGCGAGGGAACCCCTAAGCCCACTCCATGCTACCATGTGAGTCACGATTGCAATGAGAGGGCTCTGCTCAGCAGTGGCCTCTCCTTTCAAGGGCAGAGGGCCCTTCATTCCCCCAGTCTGAGGCCAGCAAACGGGGCCAAACAAAACTCTTGATTTTCAAATTATAGATTTCTCCCTTGACCACCTACACTGAAGCTGGGCAGTTCTCACTGAAACAAAACATTTCCGTGAGGGTTTCCAGGGTGTTTGTGGAGCATGAATGCTGAAGAATATTAAATAGTTTTATGAGAAAGGGAACATTCTCGAAGCTAGCACATGGTTGGAAAATGCTGAGTCAAAGTCCACTGGGTTCTTGACTCGGCAGAGGCTCCAGCATGCTCAGCACAGTGGGCTGCGAGACAGAGCACAGCCCAACATCTGGCCTCCGAACCCCGTCTCTTCCTGGAGCAGAGCTGCTGTAATCGCTTAGGACCCCTAATTCTGAGCGTTAGCCAGAGAGTCGTGGGCTGTGAGCAGCATTTGAACTTACTTGCCTAAGAATACGCCTCCCCCTTCCAAAGTAAAGCCCAACATAACAAAACTCCTGTAATTGCTGCAAAGCTGATGTGGCTAGAGGTTCTCACGGCAAAGGATAAGCGGAGTGCTTGGTGACAGCCAGTTTCAGTCCTGGCTTTGTGGTTCAATGGTGTGCAATTTGAACGTGGACACATGTATATATACCACACACCCAAAGTAAGGTGGAGGATACCCAACATCAACCTCTGACTTCCACAGCACACACACACACACACACACACACACACACACACAGATGCAGGTGCTCACAAACGGGCACATACACACAGAGATAGCAGAGGGAGGCGAGTACAGACATTCTTCCTGGTCTTAGATCTCTATGAAAGGGACCAGGTGATAGTGTTGGCTGTCTATCAACCACATTTTAAGAAAAAACAAATAGCCATAATGGGATATACAAAAATGGCATTGGCTGTAATGACTACTGAGGGCCAGGAGAAGCCACTCCAGAGGCAGGAGAAATGGTGACCAAAGGGACACCAAAGGCACCTGGCTGGAAGCCATCAACACACAGCTCCACAGTGCAAAAAGAGCCAGACAGGGTTATCCTTGCTTTTATGTCAAAGATGGGTCCAAGGTCATTGACAGAGACCCAGGTTGCACAGCCAGGCTCTGTGGGTTCCAACCTTGCTCACTGACTGCAGTCTGAATGCTGAGCCAGAAGCCCATGTGGGAAGCAATAAGGGGTTCCCCTCTTGCCCAGCTTCTCACTGCTTGAGCTTAATTCCATATGAGCTTCAATGCTTGGGGGAGAATATGGGAGGATGAGGCAGCAGCCAACCTGGGCTACAGAGTGACTCTCCAGAAACAGACAAAAAAGACAGAGGGGGAAGGAAGAAGGAAGGGGAGGTGTACAGTTGATTGGGTTTCAGAGCTCATCCTTCAGAGGTGCAGACAGAATTCCTTGAAGAACTGTCAAGAAGTTGAACTAATCCTTGATAATGTGGTACAGGAAATCCTGACATGCAGAAGGGCAATGTTCACGATAGGGTATCTCATAGGCTATGTCAGATATGGTTTTTGGGTCTGTGGACCCAGGAGAAAATGACAGAGCCCTCCCTACCTCTTCCGATGGGCATGACTACCCAAGGAGGCAACTGCCAATAGGAGCTTGAGTACAGTCTAGAAGTGAGTCACCTCAGCACCACCAGAAGGGGAACCTAAGGCCCAGAGGAAGTTTGGGTAAAGATGCAAGCTGTATTGAACCACAGCCTCCAGCTACAGTCAAGCCCAAGCAAACAGCAAGGGAGAGGCTTCCAGAGAACCAACAGAGGAAGGCGGCCCAGCTCTGAGATGCTGAGAAAGGACATCTGTAGGCAGGACCTTGCAGTCACCGCCCCCCCTGCAATGACAGATTCACCAGCCCTCCTCAAGTCCTTCGTGCCTCCTGTGCCCAGTGACACCACCATAGCTCTGCCATGACCCTCAAGGTCCTGTCTATTCCAGTTCCAGCCTTGCTGCCCAGGGTACCATTCTTAACTAACTCTCAATGCCTGCCCTGGTCCCAGCATCCTTTGTCCCTCAGATTTCAACCCTGTTCCTTCATATGCTGCCCCAAAGCATGTCTGGCCTTTACCCCACTAGCTAAGTTGAGTCCTAGTCAGAGAAGGGAGAACTGGCTAGGGTCACAGGGCTCGCAGAGGAGGAAGCCAGGCTAGAACTGGTAGGATCGGGCAGCCTGGACTGGGCACACCTGAGTGGCATCCCCCGCCCCTCAGAGCTTAGGTGTCCACTCCTATCCTTAAGACTTGGGTTTCCTAGGGTGCTGCTATGCAAGGCTGGGCCCCCTGGAGCTGGCATATGAGGGTTGTGGGGAAAACATGAGTGTAGGAGGGAATGCCCGCCCACTCCAGTGCACTGGCAGAGCTGTGTGACACACTCCCTAGAACCCTCTTTGGAAATGCCCTGCAACAGTGCCAACATCTCCTCTCTGTCCCCGGCAGCATTCAGCCCTTTTATCTCAAACTTCACAACTTCAGACCTGGCCTGAAATCTTTGCTTGCCCCAATTAGCTGTGCAGCCTTGGATAAGATGGTAAGTCTCTGTCTCCAATTTCAAACACGAGGATTCTAGACCATGGACATCTCCTAGTGAGCGTACAGATCAAAGTATCAGGCTCCGGCACTGTGTAAGCACATGGGAGGTGTTCACCCGGGGGCTCTTACGTTGGCGTATATAGGTTATTTGAACATGAGCACATATGTCAGCATGAGTTAAGACTGAAAATGCACACATTTTAAAGTCAGAGCTTAGTGAGAATTCTCTGTTTGCAATGATGAACATCTACCTGCAGGGCTCGGCTGGAATCTACACAGCGATGCCACTGGGGTGGTGTCTCTTACATGAGATGGCAACATGACTCCCTGCTGCCTTGCTCTGAAGAATGGGTCTTTTTAGAGGACTGAAGAGACAACTTAGGGGTTGGGAGTGCTTGCTGCTCTAGCAGAGGACTCAGGTTCCATTCCCAGCACTCACATGGTGGCTCACAACTGTCTGTGACTCCAGCTCCAGGGGACCCAACACCCTCTTCTGGCCTCAGTGAGTACTGCACTCACATAGCATAAATATGTAATAAATATGTAATATATAATATTTTAATGGATCTTTTCAAGCTGGGTGCCATGGCACACACCTGTAGTCTCACCCTTGGGAAGCTGAGGTGGGAGGATGTGAGGGGAGGGAAGGGAGGAGGGAAATGAGAAAGAGGAGTGAGGAGGAGGGCAAAGAAGGAAGAAGGCTGGGTGCAAATGAAGACGCAGCCAGCAATGACCAAAGCCAGCTGAGTCAGGTTCTCTATTCTGTCTTTTGACTCTTCTGGACCCAGAGACTCAAAGTGCAGGAGCTTGAGGACCTAGCCTGGCTGTGCACACTCAGAGTGTGTCTGGTTGTGCACACTCACAGAGCCCACACTCTATTCATGGCAGAACTTTTTATTCCCAGTGGGAAATGAAAACTGGCCACAGCCATCTTCTCTACTGAGCCTCATCACCCTCAAGAGGGCGTGGTCTGCTATGGGTCTCCGTGCCATGCTTTTGAGCAACCCTTGTTTCTTGTACCCCACACTAACAGGCGCAGGCGTCCTTAGGGTCATGGGGGAGGTGATGTTATGAGTATGGCTGAGGACTGCTGTCTTGAAGTCTTCGAAGTTACCCCCCAGAGACTTCCCTAAGGCTCACTTCACTCTGACCAGGTTATCCCACCGCCAGCACTGACGGCCTGTGTGGCTTCAAGTGGTCGCTAATCTTCTAAGTGCTTTAGTTTCCTCCGAAAATTGGGTTGAGCATTAAAATGGGCAGTTCAAAAAGTGTTCAACCAAAAGCTCAAGTCACCATGGATGTTACCACCACTCTACTTTAGAATTTGGGGTCTCACATTGGCCTCTAAGGAAAGAGAATTGACTGGGTTTGGGGAGTGGGGTCTTATCATTTGCATTCTTGGCTCAGTGAATAGAATGGTCATGGGTGGAACTCACAGATAAGGTCTGGCTGACTCCATGATGGCAGCCTGTAGCCAATAAAGAAAGGAAGGATGAGAAAGTGAATGGATTGATGGGTGGGTATATGGGTTGATGTAGAGTGGATGAATGGATGAACGGATGGGTATATGAATGGGCAAATAGGAGGATGGAGAGATATATGGACTGTGGGTGGATGATAGGTAGATGAATGGATAAGTAGATGAATTGGAAGATGTATGGAAGGGTAGGGGAGTGGATAGATGATGGATGTGGGT